TCTAAAAAAACAATGTGCATATCTTAATTAAAAATGCTTTGTTGCTAAAAAATGCTAACAATCTTCTGAGTCCAGTGAGTTGTAATCGTTTTGTGGGTAGAGGGTTTTGCCTTGATTTTGTTAACTGCTGACTGATCAAGGTGGTAGCTGCTGAAGGTTGGGGTGGCTGTGGCAATTTCTTAAAATAGATGACAATGAAGTTTGCTGCATCGATTGACTCTTTGATGAACGATTTCTCTGTAACGTGATAGCATCTGTTTGATAGCATTTTACCCACAGCAGAACTTCCTTCAGAACTGGATTCAATCCTCTCCAACAGTGCCGCTGCTTTATCAACTAAGTTTATGTAATATTCAAATCCTTTGTTGTCATTTCAACAATGTTCATGCTGTCTTTACCAGGAGTAGTTTCCATCACAAGAAAAAATTTTCTTTGCTTATCCATAAGAAGCAACTCATCATCCGTTTAAGTTTTACCATGAGATTGCAGCAGTTCAGTTATATCTTTATGCTCTACTTCTAATTCTAGTTCTCTTGCTATTTCTACCACATCTACAGATACCGCCTCCACCAAAATCTTAACCCCTCAGAGTCATCCATGAGGGATGGAATCAACTCCTTCCAAACTCCTGTTAATGTTGATATTTTGTCCACCTCCTATGAATCACTAATGTTCTTAATGGCGTCTAGAATGGTGAATCTTCAGTTTACTTTGCCCAGATTCATCAGAGGCATCACTATTTACAGCCTTATGAGATGTATTTCTTAAACAATAAGACTTAAAAGTCAAAATTACTCCTTGAACCATGGGCTGCAAAATTGATGTTGTGTTAGCAGGCATAAAAACAACATTAATCTCCTTGTAAATCAGAGCTCTTAGGTGTATTGTCAACGAGCAGTAGTATTTTGAAAGGAATCTTTTTTTGAACAGTAGGTCTCAACAGTGGGCTTTAAATATTCAGTAAACCATGCTATAAACACATGTGTTGTCATCCAGGCTTTGTTGATTCATTTATACAGCACAGGCAGAGTATCTTTAGCAGAACCCCAGGATTTTCAGAATGGCTTCCACTTAAAGTCACCAGCCCCTAACAAGAGAGCCTGTCCTTTACAGCTTGGGAGGCATTGACTTCTCCTCTATAGCTATGAAAGTCCTAGATGAGATCATCTTCCAATGAAAGGCTGTTTCATCTACACTGAACACCTGTTGAGTGTAGCCACCTCCGTCAATGATCTCAGCTGGATCTTCTGGATCACTTGCCACAGCTTCTGCATCAGCACTTGCTGCTTCACCTGGCACTTTTCTGTTATGGGGACGGCTTCTTTCCGTACACCTTATGAAACAACCTCCGCTAGCACCAAACTTTTCTTCTGCAGCTTCCTCGCCTCTCTCAGCCTTCACAGAATTGAAGAGTTAGGGCCTTGCTCTGGATGAGGCTTTGCCCTAAGGGAATGTTGTAGCTGGTTTGATCTTCTATCCAGACTACTAGAACTTTCTCCATAACAGCAATAAGGCTGTTTCGCTTTCCAACCCTTCACTTGTTCCGTGGAGTGGTACTTTTATTTCCTTCAAGAACTTGTCCTTTGCGTTCACACCTTGGCTAACTGGCGCAGGAGGCCAGTCTCAGCTTTCAACACACCTTCCTCACTAAGCCTAATAATTTCTAGCTTTTGATTTAAAATGAGAGACATGCGACTCCTCCTTTCACTTGAATGCTTAGAGGGCACTGTAGGATGATTACTTGGTGTAATTTCAATATTGTTGTGTTTCAGGAAATAGGCCTGGAGAGAGGGAGGGAGATGGGGGAATAGCCGGGTGGTGGAGCAGTAAAAACACACATTTCTCAATTAAGCTCTTAAACAGGCACAGTTCATGGCACCCCTAAACAATTAAAATAGTAACATCAAAAATCATTAATCACAGATCACCGTAACAAATATAGTATTAATGAAAAAGTTTGAAATATTGCAGAAATGACCAAAATGTGACACAGAGGCATGAAGTGAGCATGTGCTGTTGGAAAAATGGCGCCAGTGGACGTACTGGCAGCAGGGTTGCCATAAACCTTCCATTTGTAAAAAAAACATGGTATCTGCAAAGCACAATAAAGCAAAGTACAATAGGATGAGGTGTGCCTGTATCTGCAAAGCACTCACAGAAGGGCTGGGCACTGAGAGGACGGGGGCCTAAGGGAAAGAGTGGTTGTCCCAGCGGTCGGAGGCTCCAGAAGTGAGAGTGGGGCCGTGGGGCTGGACCATGTGTCAGCTTTCATGTCCACTAGCCAATTCCTCTTTGAGTCAAGGTTTGGCAAATTGATTTAATCAGGGTGAGAAGATTTGCTTTCTTTTTTCCTAGTCCCCACAGAAGGTGCCATTATTGTGGAATTATGAAGATAAAATTGAATATTTAAAAATTAAAGTTAAGATTTCAGGAGATAAGTTTCCTCCCATTACAAATTTATAGCATTCCACCCAAGTGTCTGTCAGCATCTGAATGGATAAACAAATGTGATGTATACACACAATGGAATGTTATTCAGCCTTAAAAAGGAAGGAAGTTCTGGCACATGCTACAACGTGGATGAACCTTGAGGACGTTATGCTGAGTGAAATAAACCAGTCACAAAACAGGACAAATATTGTATGATTCTACTCGTATGAAATATCTAGAATAGGAAATTCATAGAGATGGAAAGTAGAATGGTGGTTGCTGGGGGCTTACGGAGGGAAATGAGGAGTTACTGTTCAGTGGGTACAAAGTTCCAGTCTGGGAGGATGAAAACGTTCTAGAGATGGTTAGTGGTTATGGCTGTGATGTCTGAGGTAGGGTCCACAGGCCCAACAGTCAGCCTCAACCCGCCCTGTCTTCTTACCAGGTTCTTGACTCCACCACAGGAAAGAATTCAAGGGCAGAGTCACAATAGAGAGTGAGAACAAGTTTAATATAACAGATAAAAAATACAGTTCCACAGAGAGACTGAGACATAGCTCCAGAGACTGAGCAGGGCCCACACCATGCTTAACACAGAAGTAAGTTCAGTACAGACATCAAGTCTAACACAAAAGCAAGAAAAACACACTTAAAGTTCAGTACAGAGGCCAGGCTGGCCCAAGAAAACGAGCAGCTGCTTGCTGAAAGTAAGCAAATTAAAGCATACACACCTCAGCCAGAGAAGTGCACAATGCCTCCAGGAAAGTGAGCAACAAACCTGCCTTCTGCTGGGATTCGGCTTTTATAGTTTCTCTATCTAATGAATATTCACTTAAGGGGGCGGCTCCCAGTTATGTAACATTTCATCTTGCACATGCTCAGTCAGTCTCTTCCTGGAGTGTGTTCATTGGTCAGATCCTATCACAGGCACCAGGCATATTCAAGAATATTCTGTGCTCTCTATTGAGCCTGCCCAGCCATGGGATTTGCATTAGCCAGCCCCTTGTGGTTTCATTTTCCCCTGTTAGTGCTGAAAATAGGTCTAACTGGCAACAGTAACTTTCCTCCAGGGCAGAGCTCACAGGAGGGGGCCTGAGACCTCAGGGAGTGGCTGGAAACCCAGAGGCTTGTTCTGAAACCCCAGCCCAGGGAAACTGAGCACCTCCTGAACATACTTAATGCCAGTGAACTGTACACTTAAAAATGGTTAAGATGGTAAATTTTATGTTATGTATATTTACCACAATTTTTTTTTTTTGGTCTTTTTCGTGACTGGTGCTCAGCCAGTGAGCGCACCAGCCATTCCTATATAGGATCCGAACCCGCGGTGGGAGCGGCGCTGCGCTCCCAGTGCTGCGCTCTCCCGAGTGCACCGCGGGCCGGCTATTTACCACAATTTTTTTTTTTTGGTCTTTTTCGTGACTGGTGCTCAGCCAGTGAGCGCACCAGCCATTCCTATATAGGATCCGAACCCGCGGTGGGAGCGGCGCTGCGCTCCCAGTGCTGCACTCTCCCGAGTGCACCACGGGCCGGCTATTTACCACAATTTAAAAAAATAATTCATAGTGTTTATTTACAGTACTCTGCCAGAATCTGATTGAGCAGAAACAGCAGCATTATTTTTATGCATTTATTACAGTAGGCCCAGCAGTCAGCTGACCAGTACTTATTTAAAACAAACCCATACATATTTCTTTGAATTATTCAGAAGTCTGCACTCAACTCTGCTTCCCACTGGCCTGTGGCCTCCAGACTGAAGGAAAGTTGACCGAGAAATCTCCACTTCTTAGCCCTTTTCCATGTCTAACTACTTTTGAAAGAACCTTGTTTTCCTAAATCCTATAATTACATTTGCCTCCAGGGTACCCAGGAATTTTTTTAATAAGCAAAGAGCATCCTACAATTATCATGATGAGTTGAGGGCAGGCCAAGTTCAGACAGGAGGCTGACTCAACTCTGGAAACTAACACTCACGTGTTCAATCCAGGAGGCACCCGCCAGCACTCATGGGGGTCAGTCATTAGTATTAAGAACCAGAGAATTAATAGAACCACGTAGATGTTCACTTTATGCTGCCAAGACAGGGCAGACAGCTTGGTGGGATTTGGCTTTCCTGAGGCTAGCTGTGCTGTCGGAGCTGGCCCTGCCTTCACAGATGGTTCTAGGTAAATATTCCCTGGCCATGTGCATAACCTGGTCCTGCTGGAGCCAAGGCCGGGATGGGCAGAGCTGGTGGAGTCGGAGCCTGTTGGCTCTGTCAGCCCTGATTTGGCCTGAGCCCGGTTTCGTGGCCCTGCCTGTAATCTCCACGAGTTCAAAGAGCGCTTAGCTGCTTGTCTTTGTCAAGAGCGCGGTTGGGGATCTTTTATGTGGAAGATGTAGACTTCTTGAGTTGACTTTGATTATTTATTCATCGCCCTTCATGGGTGTGTGATAACACGGGCACTGAGGAGCCCCTTATCCTGGTTGCTCTTGCTCTGAAATTCATTGAGCTTTAAAGTCCTTTGAAAATTGCTTTTCAAGGGAGGGGGAAAGTTTTTGAAGTCCTCTTTCTCTCTGTCCCTCTGCAGTGCCGCAGCACCTCTTGCCACCGTTCCATGCGCCCTTACCAATTGACATGCGCCACCAGGAAGGAAGGTACCATTACGAGCCTCACTCTGTCCACAGCGTGCACGGGTAAGTTCTGGGCTCAGCCTGCTGTTCCCGGTGTGCGGTCTCTTGCCACGGTGGAGCCTCGCTGGCAGCCTTGGCCACCTCTGCTCTCTGTCTTTCTTTTTGGAGTTCCTGATCCACATTGTCCTGGATGGGCATGCACCTTTGCCACCTGTGAGTGTGTGGGTGGGTGGCATGTGAACACCATCTCCCCCTCTGGTGCTTTCTCCCATGTTAGTGATTCTAAGGCTCTAGGCTTCCTTGATGTATCCAGGCACCGTGTGAGGCTCTTTACCCATCCATGAAGTGGGAATCCCCTACAGGCCAAAGATCCCGTATAAGTAAGGCCACCTTAGATATATGTTGTTCCAGCATAATAATTCGGAGCACTTCCTTTCACTCACTCTCTCAAGTGTACAAGTTTGAGTAATAAACGATATAGTCACCCTATTATAAGGACAAGCTCAAATTGATGCTTTGGGACCTCTTTCTGTTCCCTGCTTTGAGGTCGCCAGGCAGAAGGGGTGTGTTCACCTGTGCAGTTTCAATATGCCTAGCCCCGCCTCTCTTCATTCCCATCTCTGTCCCCTAAGCCCAAGGCTGATGTCACTTTTCTTGGTCTTCATGACTCGAAGGCTCGGCCCCTTGCTACCCATCCATTCTCCTTCCAGGAGACAGGTCTCACCCTTCTCCCCACCTCCACCCTCTTGCTGCTCCCCATACATGCCTTGGAGGGGAGCTTCTAGGAAGCAGCAACTGGTCCCAAGGCCCCTCAGCCCCTCCTGACCCAGTGCCTTCCCTCCCATGCCCCTGCAGCATCTCACCGGTGCATGCCAACTTGTTCTTTGTGGCTCCAACACACACAACCCTGTCCCATATTTCCCTGGAATGTCTGCCTGGAATGTCCCCTCCACCTGGCCACCTCCAAGCCTCAGCTCAGGAGCCACCTCTTCCTGGGGGCACTGTCATCCCCCACACAGAGTGAAGGCCCCTGACCTAAGTTCTCTCTGCACTTTTACACCTGAATTATCTGTTTGCACACCACCCCCCAGCAGGCTCTGAACTTCCCTCTCATTTCTTTGTCTACAAGAGCCAACACACAATAGGTGCATAATCAATGCTTGCTGAAGTGGAGAATCCTCTCCACGAATTCCACCTATTGGAGACAAATCCTACTGCCTCTCCTGTCTCCCATCCAGCGAAGTCATAAATACTTGCTGAGCACTCACTACGCCCAAAGCACTGTGCCTGGGATGTGTCCCAGCCGAACCTCAGATGACCCTGTTTCAGGACCTCCATTGCCTCCCTGAAACAGGACAAACCTGGGACTTTTATTTACTTTTTAAAAATATTTTTTACCTTTTAATGTTTTACTTCAAAATAATTTCAGATGTACAAAAGCAGTTGCACCACTCATAAATGATTTTCTGTATGCCCTTCACCCAGCTCCTCAAATGTTAGCATCTTACATCACTTAAGACGGATGTAATGTTGTTAACTGACTGACAAATCCTATCCAAATTTGGTTGGTTGCCTGCTAATGTCTTTTTTTTTTTTTTTCCCAGTTCGGGATCCAGAACTGCTTGTCATGCCTCCTTAGTCATCTTTAATCCAGGACACTTCTTCAGTCTTTGTCCTTTGTGACCTTGACAATTTTAAAGAGTACTGGGCAGTTACTGTATAAAATGTCTCTTGGTTTGGGTTTGCCTGATGTTGCTTCATATTGCATTCGTTTTATGCATTCAGGAGAATAATGGCATAAAAGTGACGAGAGTCCTTTCCACTGCACAATCTCAGGAGGCATGTGGTGTTCACACTTCTCATCACCAGAAATGTTGATCACTTGGTTAAGGTGGTGTCTGCTGGGTTTTTCCACTTCCAAGTTATTTCCTTTGTAATTAATAAATATCTTTGGGGAGGTATTTTGAGAATATGTAAATACCCTGTTTCTCATCATATTTTCACTCACTAACTTAAACGTCCATTAATGAGTCTTGCCAGAAACAGTAATTGCTCGTGTTTACCAAATGCCAATTTCCTATTTCCATCATTCCTTCCACATTTGTTGATTGGAATTCTACTGTAAGGAAGAGCTGTCCCTTCTCTCACATTTCTTTATTCTATATATAAAGATGCACAGATATTTGTGTTATTCTATGGGTTATGCTCTATTGTTATCACTATTTATAGTGTTGTTTAAATTGCCCAAATTTGGCCATCGGTTATCCCTTCAAGGTGCTTTCTGTGTCCTTTTGACATGCTGGGAACTTTTAATTTTATTTAAGTGCGTGCACCTGTCCTCACGAGTAGCATCTGCTGCAGCATCCTTGAGTCCACCTGGTGGGTGATGGGTCCACTTCCACCCCCTGCCCACTTCCAGTGCCACTCCCTGTGTGGGTGGCTGAGAGCACAGCCCAGGTGATCTCTGGAAGGTGCATATATTTGGACTTAGTTGGACCACCTGAAAATTGCTTGGTTGTTGACATCAAAGAATACTGAGAGCATCAGGGGAGCTCAGTCCCTATTTGGGGGGTTGGTGTTACTGATTTCCTGTTTGTGAGAAATGTTTGGCTGGTTCAGTGGCACAGATCCTGGGCACAGCAGGCCCGCCTCAAAGTGCTCCCTGCACACAGTCCCAGTGCTAGTCAGGAGACATAAGCATACTGAGAGCTCCATGTAGAGAGAGTCCACATGGGTGTGCATCACTCTGCAGGTGAATGTCCTGGCTCACATCTCCTCACACACCTAGGGCCACCACCAGAAGTGTAAGAAGACCCCAATGTTGATGACTGCTATTTCTCATAACTCTGACCTTGTGTGCAAGATCTATTATAAACACTTCATGTGTTTCATGTCATTTAATCTTCTCAACAACCCTAAAAGGTAGACATTTCATGTCTTCCCCATTTTACAGATGAAGGAACTGAGACAGCACCAAGAGGTTAAAAGATAATCCTCAAGGTCACTTGCTTAGGGAGTGGGGGAGTTATAAATCGAAGTGCAACGCCCTGAGCCCAGGCCCTGACCACATGCTGGCCTTTCTCCTGGAGCATAAGTATGGACCACAGCTCCCTCTGACAGGTTCAGCTGATCCCTTCTTGACAGCCATACAGCCCTTTGTTAGGGCACTGCCCCTAGTTCAGTGGTTCATAAAACTTCTGGACCAGCAACATCAGTGTCCCCTGGAAGCCTATGAGGAATACAGATTCTCAGGCCCCAGCCCAGACCTGCTGAGTCAGAGACTCTGAGGATGAGGCCCTGGTGATGCTGCTGCAGGCTCAGGCATGCCACTGAATGAGGAAAGCCCCCGGTGCCGTCCCTTCCTGGGCAGGTGGGGAGCCATGGGCCGGGACACAACCCGGATCTTCTCCAGGCTTTGCTGTTCTCCAGCTCTGGGCTGGATGCGGTCACCCACCCTGTCTGGGCCTGCTTCCTTCCTGGCCAGTGAGGGGCAGGGTGTGAGCAGAGCACCTAGCGAGGCAGAACATGGATGAGGGCAGGCTGCAGGAGAGGGCGCTGGCTGGCGGGATGTGGAAACGTCCTTGACACTCACTACTAGTCTGCATGGCTCTTTCACTAGGCTAGATTCCTGAAGGGCATTGTATTCGTTTCCTATTGCTGCTGTAACAAATTCCCACCAACTTAGTGGATTGAAACAGTACAAATTTATTCTCATATAGTTCTGGAGGCCACAAATCTGAAGAAAGTTTTACACGGGGCTAAAACCAGGGTAGGGCTGGGAACTTCTGGAGGCTCCAGGAGAGAACCTGTTTCTTTGCTTTTCTGGTTTCCAGAAGCCTGCCTTCCTTGGCCTGAGACCCCAACTTCCCCTGACATCACCTTTTCTCCCCACCTCTGTCCTCATGTCACCTTCTTCCTTGTCTGTAGTAGATTTCTCCCTCTGCCTCTCTCTTATAAGGACACCTGCAATTGCTTTTAGAGCCCTCCTGAATTATCCAGGCTGGTCTCCCCATCTCAAGATTCTTCATGTAATCACATTTGCAAAGTCCCTTTTGCCAGGTTCCAGAGATTAGGAGGCAGGCATCCTTGGGAATCAATATTCAGCTCACTTGGGATCACCAAGCTCCAGCAGGGAGCCTGGTGTCACCCAGTAGAATACAGTAAAGCGTGTTGACAATTTGCACAGGTCTGCACGGGACAGGCACTGCACTGGAGCCTGGCATATGGTATTAGTTAATCTTCCTGGTTGCCCTGTGAGATGGGGTTATAAGCTTCATCCTGCATATGCAGACACTGAGACGCAGAGAGGCTCAATAACATTCACATATCATCACCGCTAGGTGGTTGCTTCTGTGAGGGCTTAGGAGACCAGACTCTTGGGGTGAAGATCCCCTCCCCAGCCAAGGAGGGGCTCTCTGGTTAAACCCTGGTGGTGGGCAGCAGCACAGTGCTCCCAGAGCCCCCAATCCTGCTGGTGGGGGGGTGTTCCAGTAGCTCTGTGTAATCCTCAGGACAGATGGTCCCTGCCCAGGACAACAGGGGACACTGTGAGTGCTTCAGGTTGGCCTTGGGCTCTGGAAGCCCCCCTTAGTGCCCCAGGTGAGAACCAGGACAAAGCCTATGAGAAAAATGGCCCCATGGCTCTGGCTTGTGTGATTAATGTGGTCGGAGCCTGGTGGAGCACCCCGATCCATCAAGCCTGTGATGTAGCCAGCCACTCCGTGTCGGCACCAAATGTGTCTAATTACACAAACATTGCACAGCAAATGAGGTGCAGTGTCATCTCTTGTCAGCAGAGTCTGAGCCTTGGCCCACTGCTCTGAATCACAGGGCTGCATTGCATGGCCCACTGGGGGTACGCCTCCTGCTCACCAGCACTCCACACCCACCACACCTCGCCATTCCCCCTGGGGACCCTGATAGCTCCAGGGATGGAGCGCTCCACATGTGCGGCCCCAGGTGAGGAGCTCCCCTGTGTTCTCTCCTTCCACCCTCCCTCAATCCCCCAGGACTACTGCAGTCATCGCCAAGGAGCTGCTGTTGCTGTGGCCTTTCTTGAACCC